ACCTGATCGCAGTGCACTCATGAGGTGCCTGACTAAGGGATACAAGCGACGGGAATTCTTCGAGGCGATCGACTCAAATCTGGAGGAAATCGGCCCAGACATACTGCAAAAAGCTTTAGAGCGGAAGTCCCCAGATGCGTACTGGACGATATAAAGCCTGCGCGTGCGCAACGCTATGTACACCACCTTCCCCGACCAGCCGATCTACGTAGATGACATGTACGAGCACATGCGCGCGTGCCGCATGCACATGTTAGAGACAAGGAGGAAGGTGAGGATGAAGCTGCACGAGCACTTGGGGGAGGAGGAGTTCAGCCAGGTTTGCGAGGATTTGACGGAGGTGCCAGCATGCATGAATAGGGTTAGGCAGCAGCACATGCAGAGGAGGAGAGCAGACCTAGCAGCACAGATATGGGCAGCATACACAGAGCAACGGTTCTCGGACATGCATAAGTTGAGGGTGCTCTACCAAGGAAACGGGCGTGGTCCCAAGCGTAGATTCTTCTACAGCCCGCGGACCAACTGGAACACAGCCACGTGGGCAGAAGAGCTAGGCAGAGCACCTAAGGATGGAGGACTAGCAGGGGCGAAGATAGATTGGCGCGCCGAACTGCAGCACTACAGACATGATTGCGAAGATTTCGAACACCTGTTTGTCGACGCAGAGCTGATGGAGACAGTTAAGAAAGACCGGCAGGCTATGGTAGAGTATTGTCGACGTGCTGCCAAGAGGAGAGCCTTCCCCAGCTGGGTTCTACCAGTAGAGGTGGTCTGGATGATGCTCAACCCGTCAGTTAATGCCACGCCCCCGCACGAGCAGAGCGAACGCGTAGAGCGCAGCATGGTAGCACGTGCAGCGCGCGAGGAGGAGGAGGAGGAGGAGATAGAGAAGCTGACGACGACTTACTCGTACAGGGTTGGGAGGCGGCTTTTGGAGAAGATGGGGCGGAGGCAGGGAGAGGGGCTCGGACCGCGAGATGCAGCTGGACAGGCGCGGCCGGCTGCCGCATCGCCTGCTGAGGACCTCCGGCGCTTCCGGCGGGAAGAGAGAGCAGGCCTGGGGACGGAGGAGCTACCACAAGTAAGGTATAAATTCGAAGAAGCCCTCACCTCCTACCTGATACATATCAGGCGCTGTCAGGCCATGCCTCTTGTCTCTTATCGCTCACAAAGTTTCCACGCCGACAAGGCAGATGGCAAGAGCAACATAGGAGGCAAGCGCATTATGCATTGCTACGACGCCTTCTCGATGGCCTGGCACTCTGGAGTTGCCCGTAGGTCCTCTGGGTTATGGGTGCCCTCGTGGGCGCATTGAGGCCTCCCCCATATAAGCCGCGAGAGCATCATCAACCTCATCATGTGCAACAAATGGAGAGCATCGGATATGAAACGCAGCCGGATCATAAGCAACTACGATTGCAGAAATGCGTTCGCTGCAACAGACCGCACCATCCTCGAGGCAAGCGCTGAGAAGTTCGCCGGTGAAGAGGATATCACTTATGCAGTTGCCGCAGTCCGTCAGGCCACAATGAGCATGTGCACTGCTGATGGAACGATCGACATTCGCTCGACGTCGGGGTCGCAGATGGGGTTTACGACAGCGCCCAGGGACTTCATTACGGCCTACAACCAGGAGGTGGAGGAGCGGAGGAAGCAGGAGGGCGGGCACGGGGAGCAGCGGTGGTTCATGACGAGTGATCCGAGAGACAGTGAAGCAGAACTAGTGGACACGTCTATTTGCTGCTTTATGGATGACATCACCAAGAGCACAGTGGTGGAGGAGGGGGAGAGCGCAGAGAACATCACCGACACGTTGAACCAGAGCACTGCACGGTTAGGGCAGCACCTGGACAAGGGGGGGTGGACGCTCAACCCGCAGAAAACGAACCACCTGCTGCAGTTGAGGGGGGGGAAAGAGCTACCAGAGCACGCGGCGTCTCAGGAAGTCACGCTCCCTCCACGGGCTCGCTCTTCGCGAGATGAGAGTACTCGGCCCCCACTTGCCCAGCGAGCAGGGGATGCTGAGCGAGATTCAGCGCAGATGCCAGGCAGCTACACAAGCATGGAGACAATGCGGATGCTTCTGGACTTCTCAGACAGCAAAGTGCATCCGTCGAGCTATGTTCCAGGCGTTCGCGGTGGAAGCTGCCCTTAGTGGGCTCTCCGCTTTTGCGACGCAGAGCACTATCGAAAGGAGAGATGAGCTGGGAGAGGGAGGACGGGAGCATCAGGCGCAGGACCAACCAGTACGCATTCAGAACATGGCGTATACCAAGATGCAGCCAACAACTGAGGGTCCGCCGTATACGTACCTATACGCGCTGGGCCCGCTTCCCCCAGGACCACCAGGCCGTATTATGCGCAGTATTCGGGGCAGCTTGGATAGACCAGGATCGTGGAAGACTATCGGCAGATAATAGGGTCTATGGGCACTCAACCCCGCGGGCTCGGCAACATATCCAGGACCTCAACTCTCTTGCGGAGGCCGACGAGGAATTTGCAGCTCGGCACCCTTCTCGACCCGATGATATTTGTTTATTCCGAGAGGGGGACATCGAGCGAGAACTTTTCCTTAAGGTCGACCCGTCGATCCTCCTGGTCACTGACAAGATAGGCTGGGTCGAGGAGCACATGGAGGAGGGGGAGGAGGACCCAGAGGAGGAGGTGATTTCAAAACCATACTGGTGCGACCACGAGGGCGAGGAGGGGAAGATTTGTGGAAGACGGTTTCAAACGGCCCAGGGTCTTGTGGCTCACCGTAGAGAAGCTCACGGGACCAACCCCCTCCTCAGCAAAATCATTATCACAAACCAATGCCCCTGGTGTCACAGCTGCTTTGTCAACCGAAGGGGGGCCCTGGACCACGGGAGGCGTGCTGCGCTGCGGCACGGGAGATGCTTCATAGATAGATCGAAATGGGCCCACGAGATTCAACCCCTCGAAAGCCTGCAGCGTCAACTTTGCGATTTCCTGGCTCAAGATTTGGCTTCATTTCAGGAACACGTCAGGCAACACATTCCAGGCCCTTCTGGGGTGGTTGAGACAGCAGCAGCGCCTGACAGAGAAGCAGAGCATGTCGTGGAGACTAGGACAAGGAGCAGCTGGAGGATCCGGGGCGGCGGCGGCACCAGCATCCATCGACGAGGACGGCCGGAGATCAGAGACGGGAGAGAGCCTCAAGAAGACGCCGAAGAAGGCGGGCGGCAAAGGCAATGGGGCAGACAAAGGAGGAGCAGCTGGCCAAGGAGCAGACCTACGAGAAGCGTTGGTCTCCACGCAGAAGCTGGTGCTCAGGGTCGCGCAAGAGAGCAGGGACCACCAGAACGCGCTGTGCGACATATGGCTCGCGCCGTCGGAGGTGCAGATGATCGCGGCAGGGGAAAAGGCGGGGCAGCTGTACAACGCGGAGGTCAGGCGCCTCGGCAAGGGGCACGGCCACGGCCCACCACACGTCCACGTAACGATCGCGGTGGCGGAGTCGGCCATCCAGGTCTTCGACGAGGAGGGCCAGAGCCAGAAGGCCAGCAAGGGCCACCTCCAGGAGTGGGTGAACTCGGTGGAGAACAAGCACGGGGTCCGCCTGATCGACGCGACGTTCAGCCTGTTCAGGATCAAGGCGGCCTACCAGAAGGAGGAGACCATGCAGGAGATGACCAAGCTGATGTACGGCATCAAGAGCTACGCGGACTACAAGACGGCCCTGCGCATGAGCGGGGCGGAGAAGGAGCTGGTCGACCAGGCGAGGAGGTTCGCCCCAGATGTGCTGAGGGAGGCGTTGAACCACGCCCTGTTCGTCAGCATGGGCACAATGCCGATGAGAGCAGGGCCGCGCACGGAGCTGGAGAGGGTAGTGGAGCGCCAGCTCAAGCAGTTGGTGCAGCAGGGAGTGATCAGGAAGCGCTGAGAGCTAGATACTCAAGTGTAGTAGCCCAGATAGCGCACGACCCTCGTCGCCAGACATCCTTGGCACACATGGCGCAGTCAGGGAGCGAGCACGCGCGCGCATTGCAAGAGCAGGTACGCAGATATCGTAGAGAGCTTCAGGCCAGTTTGATTTATGATCAGATTAGAAGTGATAGTGCAGCCTCTTGAGTCTCACGACGCGCCTCAGGCGGGTGGAACCTGGGGCGGCCTGGCGGCTTCGGGGCCTGGCTGGTGCTGTCCGTGTGCACCTGCGGGTCCTGCAGCTGCTAGGAAGGCTCTTGGGTCCACCTGCTGACGAGGCAGTCTCTAGGGGCTCTCCCTTTGAAATACTGGTTCATTGACATGAACTATATTCTATCCTTGTCCAGCGAAAGAGCGGGGACCTTCCCTGCTGACGGGGTTGCGCCCTCGCCCGCGAGGCGCGGCGCTCGCCCCAGGCCTTGGCGGCCTGGAAGCCCAGGCGGCCATGCATCCATATCTAGCGGAGGGGCTCAGGACTGGCGCCAGAGACGCTTGCCGCCCCCTACTGAGCACCGCCACCACCTCCTCCTCCTCCTCCTCCTCCTCCTCCTCCTCCCCCTCCTCCTCATCCTCCTCCTCCTCCTCCTCCACCCCGCATCGCCCTCTCCTCCTCCTCCTCCTCCTCCCCATCCTCCTCCTCCTCCTCCTCCTCCTCCTCCTCCTCCCCCCCTCCTCCTCCCCCTCCTCCTCCTCCTCCCCCTCCTCCTCCTCCCTCTCCTCCTCCTCCCCCTCCAGCCGTTCTGGCCCAAGTTTTTGGGCTTGCACCAGCTTTCTTCAGAGCGGCAGCAGCCGGTGCGAGTCTTTTTGGCTCGGTACGACAGTTTTTATTCTAGTGAGCTCCTGGAGGAGCACCGATGAGCAATGACATGGTCAAAGGACCGAAACTCCCTCTCTGGGGATGTCAGTCCTGTGGAAGAACGAGTAATTGGGCGCGTCGCCCCAAGTGCCGCTGCGGAGAAGCGGCGCCAGCGCACGTCCTTCAGCGCGCCAAGTCTTTTGGTGGTGGCAACCCTCCTGCTCGTGGTGGTGGTGGTGTTTCGCGTGGGCAGCCCAAGGATATCGGACTCGCCAAGACGCTTGCCGCCATGCAGAAGCAGCTGGATCAGCTCACCAAGCAAACCCCGCCCACCAAGGACACTCCGTCAAACGGTCACGGTGGTGGGCGGGGAAGTGGCGCTGAAGATAAAGACGAGAAACCTGATGCTTTGGTCGCCAAGGCTAACGAGTTGGAAACGGCCATCAAAGCATGCAAGAGCGAGTACATGGAGGAAGCCCGCAAGTCCTCCGAGGCTCAACTCCGCGAGGTTCGCAAGCAGATCGAAGGCCAGAAGAGTGACGTCACGCAGCACGCCAACTTGGGGCACAAGCTGGCGCGCAAGGAGAGTCAACTCAAAAAGGCAGTGGAGGAAGCTGAGGAGCAAGAGAAGGCTATCAATGATGCCACGGCCAAGAGGGGCGAGCTTCAGGCGAAGCAGATCGTGCTCAAGGCCGAGATCGACGACATCAGGGTTCAGCTCAAGCAGTCTCCTCTCGCTGGTGGCGGCGATTTTGATTTCACTATCCCTGGCCATCTGTTGGAAGGCAAAGACGAAGTCAAGACGCTCATCCAGACCGACGCTTTCAAGCAGTTCACGCAGCTCTTCGCTCAGCCCAGGACGAAGCAGGAGCCGCGTACTGAAGCTGCTGGCGATGGTGATGGTGATGCTCAAATGGACGATGCTTTCGTGTCCACGGCAGAGGCTGAAAGTTTCTGGGAGCAGCATCGAGGTGATAAACGCGTTATCGTGCAAGCGCTGGTGGCCGCCAAGTTCAAGAAGGTTCGTGTGTCATCGCCAGGAGCTGCGCCTTCAACGGGTACAGTGCCGACGGCGGCGCCACCGGCTCCAGGGCATCTTTGACGGTCAACAGCATGAGATACTACATGAACGTCGTGTCCTGAGCGCTCCCTCGGGAGCGCAGCGGCACGACAGCAGCAGCTTTCGGCGAGCGGAGCCCGCCGACGGCACCTTTTCACACCAGGAACGGATCCGCCCCTCAGGCATGTCGAGTGATGAACCCAGATGCTCGTTTCATGGGAGGGTCCGAGATCACGTTAAGTTTTCTAGTCTGGCCCCGTTCGCAGGCCAGCCGCTGTGCACTGGTTTCAAGATTTCGGCCATGGGGTCAGGCTGTCCGCCCACTCCGATTGCCGACGACCCAATGACAGATAATTTCCAGTTTGTGTGCGAGTCCTATAATGGTAACAGCTGGGGCACGCTCTCGGAACGTCTTGCTCGGAGCTCAGCATTGGTTCTACTCGCCCAGGAGATCGGGATCACGGCCGAAGATGTGGGCGACAAGACTGCAAAAGTTCTTGGCATGGGATGGCACATGCTCTGCACACCTTCGGCACCCTGCGATGCGGGGCAGACGTCGGCTGGAGTAGCGTTTTTTGCCCGGACGAGTATCGGACTTCGTTGGCCTCCACACCTACCGCGAGGGGTACTCGTCGAACACCGTCTGCTTTTAGCGATGCTAGACATACCAGGGTGGCCGCCGATTTTGGCAGGCTGTGCTTATTTGTACACCACCGAGGGGCTGTCGAAGCGTAACATCGAGTTGCTCAAACTGATCGGGGAAACGCCCCAGGGGACCCACATGGCCATCTTCGGGGCTGATTGGAACCTGGGGCCGACGATAATTGAGTTTACGGGGTTACTGAGGAAAGCCGATATGTTGATCCTCCAGCCGAAGATCGAAACCTGTGTGACGGCGAAGTCACTCACGGATCGACTTCTTCGTTGTGTCCCCAGCGGTAGCCAAGATGGTCGACAAGACCGATGTTGTGAAGAACTGGCCAAAGCGACCTCATCGGCCAGTGCAGCTTATCTTTAAGCAAGGTGCGATAAAACTCAAACAGCTTGTTTATCAGACCCATCAACGTATCCCCTGTGTGGTCCCTTTTGGTCCGTCACCAAAACCCCAGGATTGGAGTTTAGCCAGGATTTTGGCCGAGGAGGCCAACGCGTGCGCCAGTAGTGCTTCTGTCACTCTTGCGTGGACTCTGCTGAACGAGGCCTGGAAACGATTTTCGGATGTCATGGAAGTTGAGCTCGAAAATCTGGCCGGGGTGACTCTCAAGTCCAGAGGGGGCAGGGGCAAGCCGCTGCGTGCTAAGTGGGTTTCGATTGTCTCCCCCCCGAAGAGGAAGGTCGAGGAGGAGGTTTTAGTATGGGAAGGGTGGATTTGGCTTCAGCAGACCATGCGAGACCTTCAACAGACCAGTATTCGCATTTATGAGGCCGACCTCGTCGACCACACTGAGCTCGAGGCCTGCAGGAACTTAGTGCAGATAGTTCAGCAGCCTTTTGAAGCTGAAGGCCGAGCTGTGCGGCTCGACACTACTGTGCAAGCGGCCCGCCGTCTGGCGGAGCCTTGGCCTCAGCGAGCGGCAAATCTGTCGGAGTGGATAGATCGGTGTACCGAAGCGCTCGACGATTGGGAGGAGGATTTTGCCGAAGCTCGCGCTGGCCTCGACAATAAAGCTAAGGTGAGCTGGGACCAGTGGCAGTCGGAAGCCCTCTCGGGATCTGCTCGCAAGATGCATAAACTCACTCGGAACAAAAGCGCTTGGATGCCGACGGTGATTGAAACGGCTCCTGGGATTTTTGTCGGCCGACCCGCGTAAGCTGCTCGCGAATGAAGCCAACGTGTCAGGTTAATTCTGGGAAGCGACGTCCATGCCAGAACCTCTGGAGGTCTTGGACAGGAATTGTTTCGACAGGCTCGCGCCTGATGACATTCGGGCTGCCAGTAGAGGGTTCTCACCACACACGGCGCAGTCTCTCGACGGCATACATGCGCGGCACTTCAGCTTGCTCCCAGACGAGGGGCTCGAAGTGCTCAGTTGCTTGTTTCAAACTGTTGAAAAGATCGGGGTCTACCCGAAGGCTCTGTATTGGATGCTTTTCCCCCTCCTCGAGAAACCAAAAGGGGGTGTGCGTTCTGTCCTGCTTTGTGCCTCTCCTGTTCGCCTGTGGGAAAAGCTCAGGCGACCGCAGCTGCTCCCGTACTGCGACGCGCACCCGCGCAAGCATTGGGCTTTTGGGGCGGGAAGTCGGCGGAGGCGGAAGTATGGAAGCAGGCGGTCAAAGCTGCGGCCCAAGTGGCCGAAGGGGGTGTCACTGGAGGTTTTTCTTGGGATGGCACCAAGTATTATGAATCGTTCAGGCTCACCACGCTTAGGGATCGCTCGTTGCAGGCGGGCCTTAACCCTATCGTGGTCAAAGTGACCTACAACTTTTGGCGCGGGCCTCGGGTTCTGCGGCTTGGCTCGGACCACAGCCTTTCTCCGATGTACGCGAAGTGTGGGTTGCCAGCAGGATCCTGCCTGAATGCTACCAACGTTAAAGTTTACGCTATGGTCCCGTTCGACGGTTTCGTTGCCAGGAACCCTGCTGTTGACCTTGCCTCGTACGTCGACGACGACACCGTCAGCGCGTGCGGCTCGGCGGACCACGTGGTCCAAGTTCTCGGCCAGGCTGCTGAGGACCTGGAACGTGTCTTCCAGGAAGATTTAGGTGTGGGTTTGGCCCCCGACAAACTCATGACCTTCGGCTCCACCCCAGACTTGTCGCTGCGAGTCGGACGCCGGCTCGGAACACTGGCTGGGGCGGTCGGGACCCACGTGGTCTCGCTCGGGGTTGATTTAGCTCCAGGGGTGAAACGCAGCACCAAACAAGCTCTTGGTAAACGCAAGGCCCGAGTTGCGGGCATGATTCGCAGACACCGAAGGCTCCAGAGGTATAGGAAAGCTCTTCCGAGGGACAAATACAGAATCGGGAAGATTTACACCGCTGGTGTTAAGCCCGCGGTCAGTTTTGGAGATACGGTGACTGGCATGTCCGACGCTGAACTTAAGCGTGCGCGAGGGGTGATGCTTCCCTATCAGGCGCCGCGTCATGGAGGGGTCTCCCTCACTGCCAAGACAGCTCTGTTAGGCGATCCGATGTGGAGGGGCATGGTTGCTCCTGCGCTCGCGCGGGCAGCCGCTGTGTGGAGCACCACGACGGCGCCGTGCACGGCCAGTTTCACGCTGCCCCAGCTTCGCAGCACGTGGGACTCCATCCCCCAGGGAGTAATCGAGGGGTGGAAATGGGGGAAGACGAGGGGTCATATCAGTCGGATGTTGTTGCCGCTGTTTCGCATCGGGTGGAAATCGACCTCGTTTTTGATTTGGGTCGACGATAGGGGAGTCGAGTTGAGTTTGCTTCACAACTCCCCTGCCATGATCTCCGCGCTTTTAAAAGAAGGGGTGCAACGCCACCGCGAGCGGGTCCTGGGACAGAAGCTCGGATGGCCTGTAGGAGATCGTGTCTGCGTCGAGCCGCTGCGACGTATCACTCAGCCTAGGCTCCGAGGCATAGGACTGAATGCCCAAGGCAAGTACTTGGTCAAAACGGTCTTTTGCGACGGACTCTGGACCGAGGATCGTGCGCGGCAGGCTGGTTACCTTACTACAGGTTGCTGCCCGCTGTGCGGGGAGCCAGATTCTGTTGCCCATAGGATTTATTGTTGTGCCAGCCCCGAGGTTCCGGCAGCTAGGACTAGTACGGGAGTGGAGGACAGCTTCATTCAGAGGGCGAGGGAAGGGGAGCACAGCTTCTACTCTGGTCTAAAGTTTGTCAACCCTGTCAAAGACACGCCGCCTTTGTCCGACCAGCACGAGCCTTATTTGTATAGCGCCGAGGGTCAGCGAATGGATTGGGCGGACTTCGACACTACCGATTTGGACGTGGCGGGGGACGGGTCGCGTTTCCCGCACCAGATTCGAGATCTATCACGCGCAGCGTTTTCATGGGTGTTTATGGGAAGGGACGGAGAGCAGGTAGCAATTGCAAGATGCCCCGTTTGGCCGAGCCTTCCTCAGACGAGCCAGGCAGCAGAACAACTTCAGCTGGCCTTGCTCCCGATTTTCGTGCCCAAGTATGGGCAAGCTTGCTACAGTGATTGTATGAACGCCGTCAAGCTTCACAATGCCAGCACGGTTACTCAGCTGAGTCATAAACACAAGTATGCTGGACTCAGGCGCGGAGCTCTGCAGCACATGGAACGAGATGCGTATGCCCCAGCCGTATGGACCCCAGCACACAGGGACTCAGCCACGATAGACATGCTAGAAGAGCCTCGGCGGTCCATAGGTCGTGCCAACAGGCGCGCGGATCACGAAGCTAAACAAGCGATTTTGTTGCACCCACAAGCTAGCCAAAACGAGTGGGACGATGTGAAGAGCTCGATCGAGAGAGTCGAAATGGTGGCGCGGGTTTCGGCGAAAGGTCTGCCGCTTTTTCCCAGGGCCACCCACACTCGGCCTCCTCGACGGACCAAGAAGCAGAAAGCTTTTAAGCGTGCTGAGGGTTGGCACACTTGGGACACCTGGCTTTGGGGCCATCGGTGCCCGAGTCGCCTCAGCTTTTACGCTGGCGCCCTGGAAGACAGACCGACAGTGGGCTGCGAGGGATTTCCTAAGATGGTCGAAGAACTACTGACCATCTCGCCAGAACATTGTCACGTCCTGGCTAGCACGCAAGTCGGGGACGAACAAAGTCCGTTGTTTTTCTGCATGAGCTGTGGCTACTACGCCCAGCACCGCCTGCACATGCTCTTGTCACGTTGTCTCAGGCCCCTAAGAGACAGCGACAGGAGCAGTGCAGGCACTACTGCGCTCCGAAGGCTCAGGAGAGGCCTGCACCCGAAGCGCGATGCACCAGTGTCGCGTGCGGAGCTCGAAGCTCCGCTCACGAGGGTCGAGGCGCGAGCACATGTCGTAGCGTCCCGA